TTTAGTTCATAATGAAAAATAGGAAAGGAATGGAAAAGACATAAGAAGAATACATTGTTGATGAAGATGATAGAGAATAATAAGCTTCCTCAGGTATACGGTGTGACCCACGAGCAAGACAAATACGCTCCAACTCCTTCTTCGATGAAAACCACTGATGTCAATGAGGGAATGTTCCCTCAAATCAATGCTACCCAAAATGGATCAATAATGTCTCCCCCCTTTTCGACTAGGGCATAATTTTCGTATATACCGGGTCCTTAAAATTTATGGCACCCCTTGCAGGTTGTACGAATGCGGTAACAATTTAAGCTCAATGAGTTACTACACTGTCATCGCTCTGGGGCATCCGGGCGACTATAGGCTCCAGCATTAACGCTTATTTTTCAACGCTCTAGCATAATCCCCACGATCTTGGCAGCACTCCTCTCATCCTTAGCTGAATTCAATCATTCCTGCATAAACCATCCATAATTTAGCATAAATTATTAAAACCGAGGAATTTAGGAATTGTATGCATTCTCACATTTTCTTAGGTTCATTGGTAAGGATCCTCACATTTTCGCACATAAAATGCACAAAAAAAGCCATACGACACTCTCTAATTGAAAGTTATCACTACAGGATTATTTTTAATTTGGTTATAAACTATCTGAATTTAAATATATATTTATTTAATTTTTTTTTCATTTAGGCTGTGTGTTTCGAACAAATAAGTATTCTTTCGTTATTAGAAGATATTAATAGGTTGTGTAATGTTGGTAGAGATCTTTAAAAGCTTCATCAGATGTATAGTGTACCTACACCTGCTCACGGCCCCAAGCGTAGAGGACGTCATCAAGTAGAGCAGGATGCTTCAATCGAGCTTAATGTTCCTGTACTTGAAGTTATATATATCATAATGTCGAGGACGTTCCACCTTTTACCACATACACAAGATGATGTTGGCCCGTCCACGCCTATGGTTATTCTACCGACCCTGGTTAAAGTCAGTTTCACACACCACATTTGCCACCACACAATATGGTTATGGAGCCGGTCATGGACGTGGACGTAGGGAGCATGGATAGTACCTCAACCCTTCAGAGGATTGAGAGACACTGACGACACTAACAGTTCGTCGTCAGCCACCTTGTAATCGGCTACATCCCCATTGTGGGACGGATTAGATAGATAGACTACAAATTTAGAAACTAATCATTATTTTATCTATAAAAATGTAAAATATTACTCTCCAATTCATTATTTTTTAAATTTGAAGTACAACAAATAGATAACTTTACAATTCTTAAAAAATCTTGAGGAAAAATAAAAAATAATATAATTGACTTAAAAAAGAATATTTAAAGGAATATAATAAAAATATGAACTTATCAAAATAAAATAAGAATTTAATGTAAATTAAAAAAAAATTACAATATACGGGACCAGTGCACGCTTAAATGGTCGTCACCATTGTCTGATTTACCCTCTCTTTGGTGTCAAGAAAGTTTAAGAAATGATTTTAAATTCTGTGATTTGAAATTCAATAAATGATTTGAAATTTCTTATCTGGTTTGGAATGAGAATGATTTAAAATAATGTTTGTTAAAAATGAAAAGAAAATAAAAATTTAAAAATTTGAGCTTTTAATCTAAATTTATTATTTATAAATTAAAATACGACAAGGTTAAATTTGTAATTTACTTTGAAATTCTATGAAATCCTTCCAAATGCAGCCATTTTGATCCAGAATTTTTTGTACATGAAAATTGGATTTTTTTGATATGGCGCCAAACTGTGGTTGTCTCTTAGAGATGACCATACACTGTAGTTGTCTCTTGTGGAGAGACCAAACCCCACCTCAATTAAAAAACATTATTTTTGGAATAAGTTTGAGAAAAACACATTTTTTCATTTAATTTTATTTAAACCATCATTATTTTGAAAATAAAGGTAAAAAACATTTTTTTTTAAAAAAAAAGACCTATGATACATAGCATAAAATCTATAATCTATATCTATAATCTATAATATATTAAAATGCACGATCTCGGAAATATATTTTAGGACCATTATACCCCTTTAATTTTTGCTTAATTACAAATAAATAACTCAAATTAATTTTAATTTATTTTATTTGAGAAGTGGCATTTATTTGAGAAGGGTAGAAGTTTTGCTAATCACGTTTGAATTTAATAATAAACTAAAATAATTTTTTGTTTATAATAGAAGTTAAGCTGACTATTATAACTATATTTAATTAATTTATTAATAATCAATTATCAATAAATACTAAATATATGGAATGTAAAAGGTTTTTCTTACCACTTTTAAAAAATTCATTTAATTACAATTCAGGATGGAATTTCTAAAGTTTCGTAACTTTTCATCATCTTACTATATAAATTTGAGTTTTCTTCCACCATTTTGGTCACAAACACTTCTCCCTTCATTCATCTTTTTCGCGCTCTCAAAGAATTCTTCAATCTTGAAAGACGTCTTAAGACTGAGTCGTTTCAATTCCATTTTGTGATGAAATGTTTTCTGTTTGAACCATGATTTTTGATCTCTAGAATGATAATCTTAAAGTATACAATCATGGAGTTGAAAGTATTAGAGATTTCTAGAGGCGTACCATGAAGAAAATTGGTGACTTAATCATAGGAGAGCCAACGACTGAAGCCCTGCAGTTGTTAACGTCATAATTCTCGATTTTTTATGTAGTTACAATAATTTTCTTTGTTCGTTGACCGGAGTGCCAATATATATATATATATATATTAGGCGGTACTCGATTGATTTCATGTGCTGCAAATGACTTTCTAAAATTTTACCATATTGAATAATAATATTGGTCATCAATTATCAAGTGAGAAAATTTATTTTAAAGAATTAGTCTATAGCTACAATATTAGATTTTTTTGTTTTTTATTTTTCTTTTATAATTAATGTGTTTTTTTATTTAAAATGTTTGGTGAAAAATCAATAATTTATTGATAATTACAAGCTTATCTTATTTTGTTTGGAAAAAAAAAACCATGTCCTGACCAAGTTTTTAATTACTTATAAATAGTAAATTAATTAATTAATCAATTATCAATAATAATCAATCTAAAAAGTTGGAATACAAATATATTTTTTTTTCATTTCATTCCCCTGGAATTTAAAGAATTTTAAAATAATAAATATAATTATAATATGAAATCAAATAATTAAAAATATTTTTTCTTTATTGAAGTTGAAAATTTTAATATACGACAGTTAAAAAAAATTAGGTTGGAAAATCTTTATAATTTTAATTGAACAAGCAATGTGTAGTTAAAAAAAGAAGATCCTAAATTAAGTAAAATAAACTTTTCAAAATGAGAATACAAAAAAATTGTTATATTAACAATAAGAAAATGTAACCTAAACTTCATTAAAAATTGTTGTTGTATATGACAATACAATTTATATGCACTCAAAAAGATTAAATGAATAGAATGTGAAAAGTTAGAATGTAAAAAGTTACGCATTTAGTGTGCATAAATTAATTATTGATGGACAAAATACATACATGCACAGTGGAAGCGAGCAAGGATCAAAATAACAATCTAGATGCATATTCCAACCTATGATTAAACATCCATGATCATGCATTACGATGCTTAGAGAAAATGAGAGAAAATTACATACCAACGACCACCAAGAGGTCTTCCTAGCTATTCTCAATGCTTGGAATAAAATGGTGGGACTCTTTTTTAAAAGGAAAATTTGAGAGAAATATGGAGCAAAAGAGGAGTTATGTAAGCTTTTCAAAACCATCAAAATGGCCAAAGGTTCCAAGAGTTTTTAATGTTTGAACAAATGGCTTCTTAAAAAGGCAAAATTACATACAACTCTTGCATGTCTATGTTCACCAAAAGCTTACAACACATATTCCACTCGTGCATGGCATGACTAAGTGTCAAAATGCATGTCTAAGTTCACCAAAAACTTACAACACACACTCCACTCATGCATGTCATGGTTAAGTGTCAAAATTTGGATTTTTTAGATTATCTAGATGTTCCACTCAACAAGTTAGTGTAATATTCCACCAACTTTGGTTTATTTTAATCTTCTTAGTCAACCTTTGACTTTCTCGAGTCAAAGTCAACTATTTGACTTTTCCAAAATCCGACTGTTTGACTAAATTCATGCCTCTGATTATGAATCCGAATTCATAATTTTAATATTTAAATCCTATCTAAATATTTTGACCAAATTTCTCAATTGATATCATATATCAATTACTTAATTATATCTCATATGATTAACCTAATTTGAACCATTCGAATTATTCCTTCAAATTATTCCAAGTTTATTTTCCTATATGAGTTAGCCAGGGGACCTTATGGTCCTACAGATCATGAGCTCCAACGATCCGAGATTTACCGGTTAAACTCTTTAACCTAGTTAACCAACATTCGTTAACTACCGGGTCACTCCACTATAACCTGTAGCTACACTCTCCTCACTGTAGATATATTATGTCCATTTGATATAACCATGATCGGTAAGTCGACCCTTCACAGGTTGTTTGTAATTACGGTTGGGTCAAAATACCGTTTTACCGCTGTAATTACCTCTTGTTCCTTAAGTCCCATTGATCCTCTAATGAACAATGATTTGTAGTCCAACTATCAAATAAAAAAAAATCCTCTCAAACCTTTTGAAAAGGGTGGCGCCAATTGTCCAAGACCTGGATTCAGCCGTTAAGAGAACAACCTTTCTACTATCCCAGAAGTGGGTAGAAGTGAATTCCTTCTTGCACCCTATGTCCCTAGCTATCTACCTGGTCTTACCCCTGAAATGGGAGGCTTATTGAGCCAGTGTTGTTGAGCTGCTCTCACCCATGCAAATCTAAGGATAATCCCGAGTAAACAGAAGTTCATAGTTAGGTCAGGATTAATATCGAGTTACCTAGGCAATCAAAGTCGAGATAGTCAGTTTTAGACAGTAAACAGTGTTAAAAAGTAAAAGTGACTATCTCATGGTTCGGTCTTATGCAAACTCTTTGCATGGAACGTCTCCACTCGCATGTCTCCACATGAACGAATTAGGATCACATCGTTTGTACTAGCTACAAAGTGGGCCGCATCCATAGTGTTCCCAGAATAAGGTGTCCAACCTTATTCCTATACTATAGACCATTTAGACTGTTAACTCAAACTTGATCCCCATTTATGTATCTACATAAAGTTTGAGTCTCGTGTAATAGTCTATGATCCTTAGTTTATTGGATTTGGATCTAGTAAGAACATTTTATTGGATCAATAACTACTAATTGATTATAAATTTCAATAACTAGTTTATTGAATGATAAAAGTATATCTGACATTTACAAACTATGAGTTTTAGAACATAAAACCCAACAATTATATCTAAATATTTGTATATACCTATGTTTAATTGTAGAATATGAAAGTTTTAGAATGCCATAAATTTTATAATTTTTTTTTACTCACTCAAACTATAAATTTGTGTGTTCAATTTTTTTCCACAGCAATTTGAAAGTTTTATGTTAATAAAATTAAGAAAATAATTAAGAAACTTAAACCTACGTGTACTCGTAATAAACAAGAATACAGAAAATGTAAAACATCAAACAAATTATAATACATTAGATTAATTTAAAATTTAATCAAATATCATATGATGATTGATTTGATTCATATTTTATATTTAGATATATATATATATATTTTTATCATTTTTAATTTTTAACTTATTTTATTAATAATAATTACCTTTAATCTTATATTTTTACAATTACATTAATTATAAAAAAATAAAATATATTTAACAAACTTATATTTTTATAAATTTAAAGGACTTAGTTAAATAAATTATTTTTATAATATATGAAATCAATATTTTTATTACTTGTGGTATTGAACTAGTTAACGAAAGTAGTGCTAAAGATTTCAACTTATAGAAGGGGAGGAGGAATGGGTTACCACTGCCACGTATCTAAAATTTTATTAAAATAATATTTTATGGACTCCACCTATTTTGCCACCTCATTTAAAATTTAATTATTCTGGGAATTAGTTTGAAAAATCCTACTTATAGATTAATTTTTAACGATATTAAAAAAAATAAAAAACTCGGAAAAAAATCCTTCCATATATTTTATACTTATCGTAGGGAGAAAAACCCGCGAATTTCTGGGAGGAGTTAGCTTCGGATTCGAGTTTGATTCGCCCATTGATTCGCTCATCGTAGACTTTCTCATTCAAGCACAATGGAGGAGGGAAATCAATCGCACACAGTCTCCGATGACAGTATCAAAGCTCTGGATCTGGCCAGACAAGTCCGATGCATCGTAAAACTCGGTCCGTAGTCATTTGCAGCTCAAGAACATCGATTTTCCTTTTAGCTTGCGATTTGCTCTTGTTAGCATTGTAAAAATGGATCTGGGTCTGTAGCAATCTGTATCGTATCAATGATTTTGATGCAATCCAGGTGGTGCCGCTATTACTTGCAAAAATGAATTGGAGACGATACATGAAGAAAATTTGGCGACGGTTTCGTCTCATCTGAGGAAAACGATGGTTAGTGGCTCTTCTTCTTCAAAGATTATTGGAATGGATTGGAGCAAGCGGCCTGGACAATCCGACATTGCATCTATTGCAGATGATTTCGGAGAACAGGAAGTTGGCCTTGCGAGCCCCTTTATAGTTGTTCATGGAGCTGGTAAGTTAGTTCTCTGGCAACGCAAGAATAATAAAAAAAAATTCTAGGAAATTTTACGCAACTAGGTCTTGATGAGGCGAACTGAAGATAATTATCAATATATGAAAGACTGGAACCTTGAAGAAGACTGTATAGTTCTGCTGCAAAAACAATCGTGAGGGTATTATTATTCTCTATGTTTTCAGGTTCTTTTGGCCACTTTCAGGCAAGTAAATCAGGGGTTCATAAAGGAGGACTTGGCAGATCCTTGGTCAAGGCTGGATTTGTTGCCACTCGTATATCTGTAAGTTAACATGTGTCGAGCCTTGCTTTAATTGTTGTTTCTACTTTCTCATTATTGGTTTGGCAATCAATTGTGCTCATTTCATACAGTACTGCAGTCCCAACAAGGTACTTTATGTAATCCATTACTGCATTTGAGTGTCTGAACATGTACCAGTTCAGGCATCTCTTCTGCCTGGTGAACTATGTATCATGTTGAAGAACCTGTGTATACTTTGGTAATCTTATTGGTCCAATTGCATTTATTGTTTCCTAATTATATTTCCCCGTTTAAAGTCATGTTTGTGAACTCCTCGGCAGCACCTCTGGATGGAAGAAGGAAAATTGGTCTCGAAATTCAATTTCTGAATGATTTTTTTAGTCTCAATTGGAGTCAACTG